TGTATTAAAAAATGTGTCAAACTATATATAAAGCGTGTTTATTTTCTTGCTGTTCATTTTAGAAATATTTAACAATTAAGACATCACATTGCATTTAGAGTCAAAACAAATGTCTGAATCAATAAGCCAGGCTTAGAGTCTCACATAGGTTATCTTTTGCCACGCTCTCCATGTTTACATAACATCAAACATATGATAACTGCAAATAATTTTCAATATACCATTTTATGGCCACTTTTTACGTCTAAGGACCAAGATAATTTGCTAAGTAAACTAAAATGCCCCCACTCGCCATTCATGAATGTCAAACAAAGAATATTTTCTTATTATTTTCATGAGAAAATTTGTAAAATATCTATAAATATTGGAATCTATGCAAAAATCAATCAACCAAAATTCTATTCTCTTAAAAAAAAATCCAGGACTTCCTATACACCAATTTTCTAATATTCAAAACAGCAAAAAATAATAATTTCGAGAAAAAAAGCAAAAGAATCACTTTGATTTTGACTTACAGCAAAAAAAAAAAATCACTTCTATTTTATAATTAATCTGTGACCGATTGGAGAACGACTTTAGATAAAAACAATATTTATATTACTTTTTAAACATCTTAGTCTGATTAAAAATATAAAAATGTACTTGGATATTTGGGTTTATTTTAGATTATTCATCTCAGTCTCTTTTGACAAGGGTTTTATTTTCCAAACAAAGAAATCATCCTGCTACAGTCAAAAATGGGCATACCTAACAGAGGGACTCAGTAGTCCTCTCCAATGGAGCTATGTATCGAAAATTTAAAAGCGATCTATGTTGACACCAAATTTTCTAATATTACATTTAAACAAAGAATATAGTGTAATATTCCAATATTGTTAAATTTTAGGATGTTTTACAAAGCCATCAATCAAAGAAAACTTCTGTTGTAAGTCATTGCAACCAAATACAGGTCAATAAGGTACAGCTTAAGCAGAAGACTTTGTATATATATTTTTGTCACAGAATTTTCTTGACTCACTGACAAGAATTACGCCCTAATCTTAACTCACTAGAATAAAGATAATGGATAATGTAAAAACTTCATGTGCGATAACTTGCACCCCAAGAGATTTGGAAAGGAAATATCTATTTAAAGCAGTTATATTATTTTTCAGAAATGAAAAAAATCAATGGTATCGATATCTGTATTATCTCGAATGAAAGTACCTCCTTCAATGATGATATGATGGTGATATGTACAAAAATTTCTCAGATTTTGTAATATAAGGCTAACAATTTCATGCAATAGTTTACACACTCTTTAATTTCAAAATATGGTTTTAAACCCATACTTATGTTTCCTTACAAAAGATAAAATTATTCAAAATGACCTTTAAGTTTTAAATACTTTTAACATTCCACTCAATGGAAGTGAGTTTGTTTACCGTACTTTTACTGGATTCAAACACTTTATGAAAATCTTTACAAAGGTAAATTGCCGGGTCCAGTAATTGTTCAACTAAGCCCCTCAAAAAATATTTACTGCTGTGAAGGAGGACTTCAGACGTACATGTACTAGTATTGTGCCACAACATATTCAAGAAGTGATGTAAATTAAATGTGGATTATAAAAAACCTCCAAACTTTTGGAAAATTTAAAATCTCAATTTTTTTTCAAACATCTAAAAGCATCAAAACATGTGACTCTTCTATGCATAATGCAATCATTCATTAAAGTGAATTAAAGAGAACATCACAACTGCTTCCTCAATGAAAAAATGGTAACGTAAATTCTTGTATCTTGTGGTTGGTCATCTACAAATTCTTTGTTCAAAATCATTCTGATGCTACACACAAATATTCTGACGTTGAAATTAAAAAGGTGCTGGAGTTCCTCACTGACAGTATCTATATAGTCTTTGGATACCAGGTCTTTGAACAATATGTTGGAAATTTGATGGGCACTAAATTGTGCTCCTTATTAGTAGATCCTTTTTTTAAATTCCAATGAAGCAGATTTTGTTAAAACACTTCTACACGAGAAGAAAAAAACTCTTGTTTTGGTTTTCAACTCGACATTTAAAACAATAGTTTCTTTTATTCATATGGCGACTCAATATACTCCAGTGAGCTCGATGATAAAAAGCCACTACAGAGTCTGTCACATCTGTTTCATAATTGGATGTTTTACTGACTAAATACGAAAATTTCCAGCTTATAACTAAACTGTATCTCAAATTGGATTACTTCAGCTTTTTCATTGTCAACTTCCCTTATTTACAATGTATGCATTAATATTCCAACATCACCTGCATATGGTGTATATGTCTCCCAACTTATTCTCGATAAGCATGAGCATCCTTAGAGGACGATCATTTTTAAAATCCGAGGTTAGCTACTGACAAATAAGTTGATGTACAAAGATTTCGACACCGTTTCGCAAATTCTACGGTCTTTATAATGACTTTGTTTATAAATACAACCTATCTACCATTGTTAGGTCATTGTTTTTATACTAAATTTGACTACGGAGTACTCCGAATACATAATCAATACACAGGATTCACGGTGGGTATGACGGGTCAACAGGGAATGATTACTCCTCCTAGGCACCTGATTCCACCTCTGGAATTTCCAAGGGTTTGTGTTTTTGCCTTGTTCACGAATCGTTTTTTTAACTGGATTTATGAGATTGATCGCTAAACGTTATCTTCACTTCTTACACATTACCAATCAAGGAACATAATTATGATTTGTTTTATTTTGTGTAGTTTTCATTATGGATAAAATTCTTTCAATAGAAACATAATTGTTAAATAAATTGACAATATTCAGGTTAATTTTACATCGATATAGAGCAATTTAATCAAAGAGGAGAATTCATTTTATAACAATCTTCATAGGTTGCTTTTTATATAATGAGGGCAAATCTTGCCACTTGTATTTTTCTTATGAAAGTGCTCCTTTTCACAAAGTAAAGTACAAGTGGTTTTTTTATTCCATGCGTACACTATCTACTTATCCTATGAAAGTTATAAGTAATTCAGAATTTCTTATTTTATGTTCATTGAAGCACCCATTGGACAGTATAACCTTAAATTGATAAAAATTAACTTTAAGTTTTAATTTATTGAAAAAAAATGATATACATGTATAATCAAAATTTCGTGTATATTTGAATATTAGAATTCGAAAAATTTTGGATCTAAATGGAATAAAATTAAAGATGTTGTATTTCCTGAAGATAAATGTCATGAATCTAAAAAAAATCAGAATTTGAAAAATGTTGACACAATAATATAAATGTAACTTTGCTTCTAGATCTTCATGAGATATTTCTTTTAAAATTACTCATCTTTGTTACTATTAGCATGTATGTCAATCTTCCTGAAACAATAAAAATTGTCTAAGACCTCTCGATGCATCAAATTTTTTATGCAATTCATTGACACATTTTTTTCAACTGAATGAATTACATGCATATTTTAATGTTCCCATTTAACATTTTTTCAACCTGAGAAAACACAATGTTGGAAAAGAATTTCATTGATAATTAGAAAATTGATCAAATAAAGCAATAAATCTTCTGTGGTTTGTTAAAGTGCACAACTGCACTGTATTTACACTCCCTTCCTACGCATATGGAAAAGATTTTAATTACGTAAAGCAAATCTGTAGACTTCAAGTTCAAACTAGCGATCAATAAACAAATGTGCAGTCTATTGTCTCAGGATATTTCAATGCCTCAGCTTATACATCATACAGCTTTTAAGAATTCTGACACTCTATAGCTTATACAGGCTATGGTTCTAAACTGTAGAACATCGGTCTGTCATATTGACAGGTCTAAGGTGTTTCAACTGTAGCAAATACAGCAGAGGGTTTTTTAACTGTAAAAATTACAATCTAGGGTTTTAAACTGAAGAAAATACAATCTAGGGTTTTAAACTAAAGAAAATACAATCTGGGGTTTTAAACTGTAGAAAATTAAATACAATCTAGGCCTAAGGTTTTAAACTATAGAGAATTGAGTTTAGGGTTTTAAGATGTAGTAAATACATCCTTTTTGATTTTAAACTGTAGAAAATACAATCTAGGAATTTCTACGGTTTCAGAGTTGTATATTTACAGTCTAGAATTTCGAAACTTCGGATCTGTACGATAATCTTTGGTTTGAGGAACATTTCAATTACATCTCTAGATGTATTGCGTTTTATGATTTTTTACTTCTTATTCCAGCAACTTCAGTACATGTGATAAGGTCTGTAGTCAAATGGCTCATGATTTCTGTACATTTAGCAAAATAGATGGATGTTGTGTTTGGTTTAACCTTTGTAAACGGTTCATTGCATATTGTCATACAGTTAATTCAACAAGAGGTTATGTAATAAATACAAAATTTACATTCTAGAATTTCTTACATTGACACCAAAATAGTAAGAGAAAAAAATTCAGTATGCTGCTTGATTCTCTAATCATTCCAATTTTCTTGCTTTACAAAACTGCATGCATTAGATAATTCAAATGTTTTGTTCGTACCGCTTGAAACCTCTAAATTATAAGTCGCTGTATACATGTATATGGTAACGTAGCCCATAGGTTGTTTACATTTCAAGGTCTCTGTCTTTGATGTCTATGATTTAAGGTAAGTGTACATGCAGGTATTGCTTAATGTTTATCAACTTATTCCAAATATTTTAAAATCTTTTGGCAGAAACTGAAAATCTAGCTCAACATTTGTATTGGGAGTAAACGTCTTTTAGTAACTTGTCCTAACAGTTGAAGAGCCTTGCAGTTACCCCTTCCAAATGTACACAGAAAATTGTTACTTCGCTTTAGCAGAATCTAAGTAATCAGAGGTTAAAAATATTCTTTTCTTTTAAAGAAAGCATTTAATATTTCATCGCGAATAAAAAGCCTGTAATCTACATGTATATATCATCTTAAAGCGTCATTCTGTGCAAACTTTCTCTTGCCAAGCATTTGCCACCAGAAAAAAGAGAAGAAAGTATAACTCAAAATTAAAGTATAACAACATTTTATTGCAGTTCTCGTTCTGACTGTGCCAATATTTTGACACAAGCACATAGTTTATGTCACATAAAACATATTTCATTCATACAACATCAAGACTTGTATCATATATAATCATAACATAATAATGGCTCGAAATAGTTCTCGTTTTTGCAAATTCTCGTTCACATATATAAGGCATTGTAAAAAAAAAAAAAGAGAGAGAGAAAAGAAAATAAACATATACATGAGCAATTTTTGCAGAATGAAAAGGGGAAAAAGCAATGATAGTCAATATATTACAAATTGATATAATGAGGAAATAATCCGAAATATCGTGATTTTTACAGCCTATAAAAATGTCTAAAGTCACACCACTGTCGATATCTTAGGTATTAATGAAAGATATGCTGTATCATTATAATAATAATTAATAGCTTGTCAGTGCTGTCCAGAAGATGGACATTTTTCCATTAATTTGGTCAAGTGACCAGACTTTATATGACTTAGTCTTGGTCAAACCAAACCTCTGACAATAGACTATACCCATTCCAATCAATTAACTAATCTATCACTAAAACTGTCTGCTTTAAGTAACTCACAGATTAATAATAATTCTGTTCTCTTTCATATATATAAACCATCGCCATTTTGCATAGGTTTTTCTTAAAAGTGAATAACAAAACTGAATTACTGAAATAATAAAATTATTAAATGAAGTTATCTACTACGTGTTCTGAGAAAAAAAAATATATTTATACAGAATGCCAATTTAACAAAAACAAATTTTGGCATAAAAATGGAGGTATGTAAATCGATATTGACCAGTAGTCTTCAGTGTACAAAATTTCTAATCATATGATTGCGTTTGTAAATAGATGTCGTAAATTTTGTATACTTACTGTAAATTATTACCCATTTATCCTTAAGAAATGAACGCCAACATTATCATTAACAGCACAGTTGAGGAACCGAAGACAAAAACATGTTGATATAAGAAATATACATCCGAATATGTAATATATAAATGTATGTAAAATTATAAAACAGTAAAGATTTTACCCATCTTGTAACTCTAAGAAAAAAAAAACGCTAAAATTATTGTAAACAGCACATGTAGGACACTATGAACGTGGACCAGTTGATATATTAAATATATATCCGAATATATAATACATGTACATAAATGTAACTAAACAGAAAAAAAATGACGTCATAAATAGCTTGTAAATCTCCTTCTCGTTAAAGACTGGATAATTTTGTTGTCTTTCGACCTTTTTCTCGTTTTGAAAGTGGGATTGAAAAATAGTCATGTTTTAACTTTTATCAAAAGTTATCCAAGTTCATTTTAATACCTTCTTTTTATTTCTCCAAGTTGTCCTTTTCTAGTTCTTTCTATTAGTTTTTAGAATATCGCTGCCATATTCCTTCTTAAAGTTCGCTTGCATTTTAGAACTCGCGGACGATTTTAACACACAATGATATCAGGAGAAAGAGGTAGCTACCCTTAATAGGAACACATTACTTATGTCAACTCTTGCTGGTTTCGCTAGGCGAGGGCGGATCGGGGGTCACTCTGGTCTTAGGTTCCGGAACACGACTCTGTTCATTCAGTTCCTTTATGGCTTGAAGTTCTTTTTTCTCCTTCATTCGTCTATTTTGAAACCATATTTTGATTTGTCTTTCCGTCAAACACAACATATGAGATAGTTCTATTCTCCTCCTCCTTGTGAGATATCTATTGAATTTGAATTCTTTCTCGAGTTCTAGTGTCTGAAATCTGGTGTACGTCTGTCGTCCCCTGCGGCGTTGATTGGAGTTTGGGCCTGCAATTAAAGAATGATATAATTATTTTTCTAACCATTTTCATGTTAAATAATAAATAACGATACATTGCTATGAAATTTGTCCTTTTTTCTGATTTATATATAATATTTTTAAAGGCGAAATGATATTCAAGGGGGAAAAAACCCTCAGATTTATATGACTATATCTTTTACACATAAAACGGCCTTTAATTTCCTATGTTTGTATATTGTTTTGCGTGATTTAAATAGTCTTTTGTGTGTTTACAAAGTGTTTATAGAATTTGGCGCCTTCCGACGAAAAAACCTCTTCACTTTAGTAGTACAAGCTATTCATAGTATCAAATTATCTGCTCTTAAATTCGAGAACTTGCGCATGTGTCTTTTAGAAAAATAATACGTCTGAAATCACATCAAATACCTCAATTGACTTCCTTTGGATTGGTGTGAACGTTTGGTATCATTGATTTCAATAACACAACTGTGCTATTACAATGGAATATTCAATGTATAACGGGGTAATTGATCTTGCTTTTTCTAGGTCCAATAAGTAACTATCGGTGGTCTGTTGGGACCGTGTCAGGGTACCAGCCCGCGATATCAGCCGTGATCCCCACATTAACAGAAAATGTCCGCTTACCGATTAGCTCGGGGATCAATCGTTAAGACGTGCATCAGTTTACGATAATATTGTTCAAGAGTATAAAGGTTTGGATTGGATTGTTATTTATTAACTTATCAAAGCTGTCGCTATATACCTATGCAGATTTTCAAGCCAGATTGTTGATATAATTGGGTAAATTGTGAAAATAATAAGCAATATTAGCGAGAATTATTTGACAACTTAATCCCTGGCTCCAAAAACATTAACTCATCAAAGAGGCAAAAGTCTTTGTGGCATGTAAAAAAAATGATTTGAATTTTTATCAACACCATCAAACTTTGTACTGTTTAATAAAGGTTGGTATGTAAAACAAGGTATTAAAAGGAAATGTCACTTTTTAAAAAAAAAAATGCTGATTTGTTGTCAATATATATCTTTTCATTTTTTAATCAGCTAGGAATATTTGACATATATATATATATATATATATATATATATATATATATATATATATATATATATATATATATATATATATATATATATTATTTATATATACATATACATGTAGTTTTCCAGAAAACATACAAAACATTAAGTGGAAAATGTATGTAACCAAAAACACATAGTTAGACATTCCATAGTACAATTGGGTTACTATGGATTGGATGAAATATTATCTCAATAAATCTTTTCCACACGGTTAAGTTGTTAAATGAAACTCCACTTCCCCATCATTTCCACGTTTGCGCGTCTGTAAATCGAGGAACAAAAAATATTTAGCGAGTGTGCGGTAAATGGGTTTTACGAACTATAAATAATACACTATCATAAAAGTTTTCCATTTAGATAATGTGTTTAATGTTTTTGTATTATATTGAGCACTCTGTTTTATGAATAAATCAAATTGCAACATTATTCATTTATTTTCTGCCAAATTCTACACACTTCCCATGTCTGGTCTCTGAAACACAATCATGCAGAGGTGCTTTGCTTTCAACCGTGGACGTGTGGAAGTCACACCCGATGTTGATATAGATTTTGCATGGGAAACTAATAGGAAAGTAACACCGAAGTTTGGAGTTCTAGCGGTGAGAACACCATAACTTACAGGACTGTGGTCAGGCATTATACAAAACATCCGAGAAACCTCAATCAGTTGAAACGAATGTATTTACAAGCATCTGATCCCCTATTATAAACCTTTATTTGTCTTGCAAACAAACTCGGACTACTCAACTCAATTGTTTCATTTTAAGTATGTGAAGGGGACAGTAGGAAAGTAGCTAGCCTCTTTCTTAAAAGCTGAAAACAACTTTGCAAGATTCCTGGAAGGTAGATCTTGGAGATCTTCTGAAGAGATTCTGTGAAGTATTCCTGTAATCTCCAGCACAGAATAAATGGGAATACCTTTGTGAAATTGTTTGTGTGCTAGGTACTTCTAATGGGCCATTAGTGGAATCTTGCTTGTAGGTTAATGTTTCTGAAAAATCATCTCAGGTCAAAACCTTAGTTGGGGGCACGCAATGGGAGGTCAGATTCCAAATCCATCGTTTTATTGAAAATTACTAATAATATTTAGTTACGGTGTGAATTTATTAAAGTAAAAGTTGACCAAAACATTTTTTTGAATTATGTAGTTGAGGGATGAATGCTTGAACCAAATGTAACACGTAAGATCGACTAGGTTTGCGTGTTGAGTAGTCGTGACAAAAGTCATATTTCTTCATAAACCAGGAGTAAAGTGTTACCAAACTAACTACAGAAATCTCACCAACACTTTAAATCCAGATCAACTTTTCATATCAAACGTTGAGTATGTCAGCCGTTGAAATGGCGAATAAACTCGATCTACACGCCTGATCAGACAAAGCTTGAAACCTTATTTATGTCCTCACAAAGGAAACGCTAGTAGTCAAGTAACAATCGAGGTGTGCTTCGAGCCCGCGCACCTAGACCTTTCTCGCAACAAGGCTAATTATCCGTGAATATCGATCTAGCTATATGTCATCTGCTATAGTGTGTATTCAACCTCTCCTTGCACTCATTATAATGTGATAATTACATAGTATGTTCATCAAAACATGCACCAGGTGCATATTTCATTCAAAGAATAAAAATCTTATATAGGGTTACAGGGATTGAACAGGGTTTTAAACTTCCATCAACATCGATATATCGACAAGTATTGTAACTATGTACAATGTTCACTTTTCAAAACGACCTGAAACAGTTTTATTGAAATTCATAAACACTGGTTTAATGTTCTTACTATATATGATTAATTCCTCAGTATATTTTAAGCAACTCAATGTCAACCCTTGTCTTATTCCTGCGAAAAGGATGAATAACTGCAGGTTTCAGACAGATTTTAATTAGTGCTCTGGTATAAGATTAAATACCAGAGCAGCGTATGTAAGTAACAATATTTCATTGGAAATTTCTATTTCTTGACATCAGCCCTGGCATTGGAGCTTTTAAGAATATTTCTAAGATGATACATTATTTATGCTATCATCTATAGCTTCATTTTTATTATTCCCTTTTTGCTTTGTTAGTTTTCTTTTTTTTTTTTTTTTGTGTTTTTATGTGTATGTTTTGTTTATGTGTTTGTTTTCTTTTGTTCTGTTTTGTTCTTCTTCTTTTTATGTCTTTTTTTTTAATTTCATTCTTCGTTTTAATTTGTTTTGTTTGTTTGGGAGAGAGTCGATGATCAATTTTAAGACAACTTAAACAGTTACATGAAAATTTGAAAATTATGTAATTATTTTCAGGTAATTGTTTCAATAAAGTAACATAGAAGGGAGACACAATAGCGTTGTGTTTATACATCGACTGTTCGATTGAAGATAACAGTTTGGGGAAGGAATAATAATTTCAGGAATGAAATGTTGACATCTCAACAAGGGTTATTCTGTAGTCTACCCTACATCTGCGCTGTTGTCATAGAAACGCTTCTGTTTATTATATTTTTAATTTGTATTGATTAACTATTAACACGCCGTAATTTTAAGCATTCAATCTTCAAATTGTGCTTTCTCCGTGATGCCATTTAATACTTTGTAGAAGTAATGCACAAACTTCTGAAGCACAATTTCTTTCTGTGGTATTTCACTCTAAACTGTGTCATCCTTATTACAAAAGTATAAGAATATTTTTGTTCAATAAAATACATATTTTTGGGTGTAAACATATTTCATTTTGACCCCCCCCCCCAAAAAAAAGGGGCATGTTATAAGAACTAAGTATTTATCCAAATTATTGCTTTGTGAATTACTGATGTATTTCTAACAAATTATATAGTGTGAATCACTTTACGTAACACAACCACAGTAAGGCAATACTATTTCTTACGAACTGTGAGGAATTCAAGTATTCTTAAAAGTTTTTTTCATCCTCATTATATTTCTCAAAATTACATCTTCAATGTTATCAAATTTGTTGACATTTAGTCACTTGCTGTTAAGTGAATCGTAATTAATGCAGAAATAGGTTGAATGATCAAAAGGCATCTCTTTGTCCCGTCGTATTGCATACACACGGAATAAGGTTTAGCAGATCGATTTTGTTGTTAATTTCCAAAATTTTTAAAAATAATATTACACATGTAGATTTATTTCATTATAATACGTCGTTTTACCCTCTTCTGTCGTACTTATCAACATGTAAAAATATCAATTGAAATTAAATTCTCTATGCATAAATTAAATTAAAAAAGAAATGTTCTGTCAGATGGTCAGACCAACATCTAGTCATTACTTTTCAAGGCTGTAGAGTGTATATTTTACAGGGCACGTGACAGATATACAGAAGGTGGACGGAGCTGTGTAAAACAGCATCCCGGACAATCACTTCTTCCAATCGTATATATAATTTTATTTTGTAGAATATTTGCAATTTTCAACTACATTACCTGATATTAAGAAATACTTACTATTATTCTATGGAAACATGCTAATTACTGTATGGTGCAGATAGGCAAAATGTTCTAATTTTTCATGATATCTGGAATTCTGGGTTATACAAAACACGGGCGTAACTGAGACAACTCTTGTCTGCGGTTTTAGCGATGTTGTATTTCTTACAAGAATTATATAAACGTCAATTTGACATGGGATGTCTTGCGACAGTAAAAATCTAGGACCACCGGTTTTACTTGTTAACAACTTAATCAGGACCCATTCTTACCAATTCAATTTTCATTGTGAATTATACAGTTTGAAATTATCTATTTTAATGACTAAGATCTTTGGTCATACATGGGGCATTCGGGATTAGAATATATATTACAAGACGAATGAAAATAAATCCTTTGACTTTTTCTTTGTATCAAAACAAATACACCCCATGCAGAATAAAAATAATAATTAAAAAAAAATTACTTCAAATTGTCTTGAATAAATATTTTTTGATCTAACGTATATTTCCATGCTCAATAGAATCAAACGCCACTAAATGTACCGTGTATATTTTAAACTAATTTATTTTTCAAATATGGTATTAGCATATTCACTATGCAAAATTATGAATCTTGTTTATACTAATTATACATCAACGCATAAGATTATTATGATAAAGTCTTAGAGGAAATCTTAAATATATTTATTCATATCAACATATATTTCGCACTACGAAATTAACGAAATATCATCTGGTTCAACCAGTCTCAATTTCACGCCAATTTCATTCGTCTTTCAATTGTTTTTCGATTTTACTTTTGTGAAAATTCACAAAGAAACTAATTACAAAATGCACTAACAACATTCTACTACTTAAGTTTAGATGTTTGATTAATGAATATGTAAACTTTAAGGCACATTAAGGTCTCAAATTACTAAAAATAGGATATTAATACCTTTTTTATATTTTAGGAATTTTGATTTATAAGGTCAAACAATGATTTCAAAAAAGATGTTATCTTTAAATTAAATAAATATTGCAAAAATTTTATTACATTTTATTTACAATATGTGTACACATACAAAAGATTATTAACTGTACATTTAATATAAAGGAACAAAACATTGTTAAATCAAAATGAAATGGACGGATTTTTCTAATTATTGTTTTTCATTTATTTATTTATTTATGTGGCTTGCAAGTTTTTCACTTCATATGCTAACAGTGGTCACTACATCGGTTATCAAGTACAAAAAAATGTTTGCAGAAGGTCAAAGAGATTTTTCACTTTTAGGACAAGTTGCGCTGGCTTCGTCCGTTTTATTATTCTAAGTTGTCATTTATCCACGGGTTATTCAACACCTGCATACGGTAAAATGTGTCAATCAACTGACCAAAACAAATAGGTCGACTGACAGCACAACGGTCAATAGTTTAAGGGACTTTTTGAGCCAAAATATACATGTACACCAACGTCCACAGAATAACGTAAGTACACGAACTCCATTACATGTTCAGACCTTGTGAGATTTTTCTTCACTCAACTCAATGATAGTCATTATTGATTTTTTTGTTCTGAGAAAGTAATTTTAATTAACTTCTTGATATCAATTACGGTCTATAGATTGTTCATTCATTTCTGCACATTTCTAGATTCCATATATTATGTGCTTCAATACCTTTCTGTCAATGAAAGCATTCTACAGTGATATATAGTTGTAAATATGCACTAACTTTTATTTCTTTATGTCGAAACCGTTAAGCTTTATGCAAATTAAGACCTTGATGTGAACAATGAAATGCGCGTTTTACACATCGACACAAAGAA